CAAATATGCAAATAACTACATTTGTGTATGCAGTGAATTAAAAATTTTAAAGCAAAATATATCATAAAAAATATCTTTACATTTTTAAGTTGTTAACACATCTTTTTTACTAGAACCTTATAATTCTCAAAGATAAGTGACATTTTCTGATAATATTTTAGAACTTTTTTATAGGTTTTCAGAAGATAAGATGTAAGTCACATCTGAACTAGAATGAAAAAACGTAGCTGGACATTTTGAATAGTCGTGAAAAAGATAAAAACTTTGGATTATTCATATTTTCTCGTTTTTACATATATCATTTTTAAACTAAAACAAAGAGTAAACGATTAGATAATCTCGAAAATAATAAAATCTTCACAATACAACCTTCTTTACACGTTAATCACGTAGTTCTATTTTCAATAGTCGTCAGTTTCTACAGTAGTTCGATAACGTTTCACGTGTGACACTTGAGTTCCTATACTTTCAATGCTATTTTGTTCTTAAACTTATCATTTTTCTGAAGGTAGCTATGTGCAATAAATACGTTATCATATTTGCAAGTCAAACTGTCATGAATAGTGGGATAAATTATAAGTTTTGAATAATATCAGACACCAGTACGTAATATAACCTGTTTTATAAACAAAGTATCTTTTAAGACTGTAGTATGAATACCTACATAACAATTAGGAAATGAAAGCCTTAAATAAACTGGATCTTTAGTATTTAAAATTCGGTATAAATTTATATACATATCCGATCTTACAAATTGCGCTCCAAATTTTCAATTTTAAAACGCAAAATCCTAACAGAACTCTAGAATAATAATATCACAAATTGAATTAATAAACAATTTAATAATAGTGTTCTTATAGGCATAGAGATATTCATAATCTGATGCTAACAAGCATCTTAAATCTGTAAATAATTTTATCACAAAAAATATTACGCTGAAAAACAATACGTTTTTTATTTTGAATTCTAAAAATAAAAATTCCTTCCTATTCACAATAAACTAATTAATTTATATTATATAATAACTTTAATAAACTTTGATTCTGTTACAGCCATTTCATTTATTTTTTATTTCAAACTATAAATTCTTCAATATATTTACAACGTAATTATAAAAAAACATTACAAGCGTACTGTGACGTTAAAAAAAATATAAATTTTACTGACAAAAAAAAGACTTGATTTAGATACGATTTTTTTAATACATTATATTAATAGTTTTGTTAATCATTAATGCAGTAGATAATTCATAATAAAATTATATTAACTTTTAATACTATCATTAATGTAGCTATGAAAACATTGCTCGTATAATAAATAATAAGGTAAGTTAAATAATAAATGAAGTTATTTTTATGAATTAATACTTTATAAAGTTTAAATTCTACATTTATTGTATTACTTCCGTACGCAAAAAAAGAAATAATCACGTATAAAGTTGTAAAACTAAAAGTGCAACATTGTATTCTTTCAATAAATTATTTCCGTTGATTTTTTATCAGATATATATAATTGGACCATAAACATATGCGTTGACACACGGTAGTGAAAGATTGGAAAGGCGGAAGCACTGGTACAATAACGTTTGAATGAAAACACGACCGGTTTTGGAGATACCGTAAAAATTTTTTGATGACTGACAAAAGTTGAGAGGCAAACAAATAATCTTAAAATATAGTAGAATGTAAAGAAATGAGATAAAATTGTCACAATTTGTCCAACAATTGGGTCATGTCTACGAAGTGGTACAAATGTGTGACAATTTTAAATATTAAGTTTTTGATGATAATGTGTTACTCTAAATAATTTTTTAAGCAATTTTTCATATTATTTAGAAAATAAGTATTATATAATTTATTCATATTAAAAATGATACTTTTGTAAAAAAAAATTTCGTTTATGGATAATCGTCCATTTATTAGGACATTCACACATATGCGTGTATCAATTATTGGACATTCCTTAGCGTACCTGTCTACTGAATGATTAAAAAACATATTTTGTATATATTACATAGAAAACTTTATATAAAACTTCACTAATTACAATTTCGATAAACTTTTTTGTACAATCTTGATTGATAAGTAAGTAAAATGCGATTCTCTTCTATAATAAAAAAATTGCTTGTTATTTGTCCAATAATTGGGTCATACTTTTGTGGATACAGAGACACGTCACATTTTTTGTCCAATAATTAGGACATTTGAATCATATTATATTTATGACTAAATACAATTTATAATAAACGCAAATAACATATTTGATAATGGATTTAGTTTCAGAAAACATCCATTCTTACTAAGCATGTATAATAAACTAAAATTTTAATGTTTCTAAAGTTTAAATAAATGATTTCGTAGTGCAATTCCTTAACTGTCCTATTGGACCGGTTATTACCGGTACATTTACCTTATGTGTTCGATATTCGCGCTCATGTGAAAGTAAAGAATTACTGAAATAGTTTGACGCTAGAGAAAGAGAACTATGCATTCATGAATAAATTTATTCATGGCAAAATATTTTTGCGACGGTACATTGGTTGTATATACTTAATTAAATAGAATAGAGTAAACCCGGTATATACGCCACACCTATCGAAAACTTAATTTATCAATTATTATTTACTATGTTTAAAGCAAATTAATTATACAAATAAAAACTTTGTACCATCTACTACTGTAAAAAAAATATTAGAAATCCAAAATAATTTATTTTCCATATTAAAAAGTAACTTTTTCAAACCCCTGCATTTTTGCCATTTATCCCATAGGGGGGGGATAATATGGCCACTCATATATAATTCATAAGAAAATCATAAATAATCTATAAATAAGATGTAAAATGACGACGTAACTTGCATTGTTTATTAATATATGACAATTTTTATTGTTCAGAATAAAAATTGGAATACAATAGGACTTGATACAATTTTCCAAAATTGCTTCAAATCTTTGAAAATAATCTTTAAACGTTTAAGATTTATCAACATTTATGCATTAATGCAAAATATATATTGTTAGAATTAACAAAAACTTCTTAAATAGAGCGTCTGTGCTGCGGCACAGCATTCCGCTTGCTAAAAATGCCGTATATCCCAAATAGATGGGATATATATGACAACTAATTAAACAAACAATACAGGAGCAAAGCACTTGTATTTTGCTATACAACATGCTTTACTATTCCTCTACACATATGTACTGCAAAATAACCACTAAGTCTTTTACACGCTCTATAATAATCATTTTATGTAGATTATAAATTATGATGGCACTACTTATTACAGTAAAAAAATCGATTTAACTCGCAATAATTTCATTAATATTAACAGTAAAAAACTGAAATCATAACATAATACTAATATACCATAAAGGCATGTAACAAAGTAATTAACAGAAAATTATCCCCACTCCTTCTATTTTTTCTGACTTCTGCGGCGTATTTCCTGACGCGGCGTATATACCGGGTTTACCCTAAAAACCAAGGTCTTATGAGTCATTAAAATATACAAATTGATATAATATATATCAAAGTTGTTAATATTTTGTACTTTTTTAAATGCGTTAGGAGTAACGGATGCGAGTATGTTCATACACATATATTCTCACATACAGAATTATTTTACTTTCACATGAGCGCGAATATCGAACACATAAATGTACCGGTTATTGGACAGTTAAGGAATTGTACAACGAAATCATTTATTTAAACTTTAGAAACATTAAAATTTTCTGTAATAATTCTTCTATATCGCGTAATTATGTTGACTCCTTTTTCTACAACGTTTTAAATTGAGTTAATTATTAGTGTTATTAATTACTATATTTACGAGTCGTCATAATAAAATATAAATATCGACTAAGCCTTGTTTTTATTAAAAATATTAATACAAACGAATTATTGCTTATTAGTATAGCAAAATAAAATATATACACACATATATCCAATTTTGATTATTTATCGACACTCAATTTTAAAGGGAAAAAAAACAGATTAATCAAATTATTCTCAAAAAAAGATTGACAATTTCATATATTTGAATTTTTAAGTTCTAGAACAATTACAAATAAATGATAAATTGTCTCAAGACTTTCTTTAAAAAAGGCTAATTCCAAATTGATCAAATAAATTAACGTCATTAAATTAACGATCTGAGATTCTGAAATATTCTCCATTTGGATACGATTCATAGAACGTAAGAACACCTCATTATCATTCGCTACATATACGCATGGTAAGGCTAAAGGTAAAATGCCAATAAAATTATACTATTCACTGTTAAATTCACAATGTGAAATTATATCCAATTTGAATTTCATTTCTATATAGATCACTACTGTCCTTATATTCAATACATCGTTAATTTAATTAAAACAATGGAGTTAAACAATTCAACTCAAGAAACTCGAGAAATTAAGTTTGACTCAAATTTAGTTTATTACTTAAGTGCATATGTTAACATGGATGTTGTTTCTTTGGAGACTAACCACTGCAGAAATGGATTAAGTTACATTTTGACACTCATATGAAAGTTAAAAATAACAAAATGTTATTTAACTCAAAGGATTAATTGTGTTATCATTGCTTCTTAGATATCTAACAGAGTTGATTATAATGTCTATAATAGAAAAAAAATGAAATTTCCGTTAAATGAAAAATGAAAAGATGGGTTTTTTACTCTATAAAGCTTTACTCTCTATTCTTTCGAATGGCATCTTACTACAAAGAGTAAAAATTGAACCAATCTTGAAAGATACAATCATTAAAAGAGAGATTTCACTCTTCGGAGTTGTTCTAAATGTTTAAAATCAGGAGACACGGTAATTTGTAAGCGCGATTAGAGATATGGAAGAACTATCTTCGTGACGTTATTGGGGTGACGAAGGTTAATAAATTTCGCGACACGCTCGATTCAAATCCGAGCGTTGATACCTATCCGCATATCCGTTCACCTTGATACACCCGGCGACTTTATCTCGTAATAAGACAACGAGACTGACCTTGGTACCGGCAAATCCATAATGGTAGCGCGATGATGCTGATGATGTTGCTGCTGATGTGGCGCGTGGTTATCCGTGCCGATGATCCCTGGGTGGAGAGTCTGTTGCGGATGTTGAGCGGGCAAACCCCTCAAAAACGCTTGCTGATGCTGTTGTTGTTGCTGCTGCCACATTCCGTATACTTCGAGATGCATTTATGGATAAATAAATATACGTCTTCTAAAGGAAAAAAAAACGAGTTCTCTCATCCGTTTGCCCGTACAAAGTACGTTCGCCCGTCATCGTTGGCCATTGTAAGTCGCAAACTTTTCAATTCGCTTTCTCTATCCGTCGATATTGTCTCACAATTTTTATGTCACAAAGATAACGACGATTGTTACCGCGGCTCGTCTTTATCCGCGATTTATTCAACAATCACTCGTTTGCACCGGTAAACATAGGTCGCAGTTCGCAGCAGGTGTGCCTGTCTGCAGGCGTCGTTCGCCATATTGGAGAACGGCAAGCGTTCGATGACGCTACGTCAGTAACGATGTCTCTCGGCCGTCTTATCGCAACGGCGACGGCTTCTTGTTTGCCGGCCGAATTAAAATTAGCTGGTTAGTCGGTGATTAATCGCGGTCGCTCGATAGCTTATTCGCGCGGCGATAATCCTCCGGCCTTGCCTATATCTGACAAATGTTACGAGAAGTCTAGCTTGATCGATCGATCGATCGATCGATCCGTCAAGCATGTGTCGGCTTCAAATGTTCCGTCGTTCCTGTGGGAATCTGTTGTCGCGATGTTATCCCGTTCCGGGTTTCTCTCGACGAAGGTCAATCGTAGAGTATTCTTTGACGTATCTGAACTTTCCTCCCTGTAGATTTCACGCACGAGTATCCATTCTGCTAAAACTCGCAAGAACCGAAACTAAGTTCGTCATATGACGATGTTTACGCGATTTCGATCGATCCCATCGAAGAATCTGTTGATGACAGCTTGACACATGCAGGCGTGCGCGCGCACGTGATTGTTGTTGGAGCAGAGAAGCTATACACTCGTCGCTCGTGACACGCTCGCGCCGGAAGTCGACACCGGCCTTGACACCGTCTTACAGATTAGAGACAAATCTTGAGGAATGCGATTACGAAGCCGTGGGCTTCTCGATGATCGCGATGCAGAAATCGTAAATGCGATCTGTCTATCCGTCCTTCCTCCGGTATTACGCAGAGAAATATGCTACGTAGTGACACGAGGCGCGAACTCGCCGCCGGTGGCCTTGACACAGTATACGGAACGGTGTCCACTGTGGAGTGACGATTTATTCCTATAACACCGTGTCCGAACACAGTGGTCAGTGTTGTTTCGCGCAATTTATACGCGATGCACTGTGTGTATTTTTAAAGGTCAACCCGCTGTGCCGGCACAACGCGACGCCGTCGTTGTTTCGCTCCGTTCGTCGGCGTCACCTGTTTACTACTCGCCGCCGTTCGCAACGTCGCAGGTAAGACACGGCCGCCGATACAGCGCAGCCACGCACGCGCTCGCGTGTGCGCGCGGGAAACTGCGTTTTTTATTCGCAAGCAAACAATTACGCGCTGCCAGCAACGCGTCGGAACGACGGCATTGTTCACCTTACGCGCGGGTATCCGCGAAACTTGGCGAAACTGTCAAGCCGTTGAACGTCACACGGCTCTACCCGAGATTGGGAATAGAGAGACGAAAGAAGAGCGCGCAAGAGAGAGAAGGAAAGAGAGCGTACCGGCAAGACTGCAAGTTACGACAGTCCGACCTCAACTGCCAATACTGCCATGCGAACGCTACCCCCACTCCCCGTAAGCAATCAGCGCTTTCCCCCCACGCGGAGACGACCAATCGTTCCCCTCGTCTTCTCCCGCCGCTCGTCCATTCGTGCGCCTGGCGTGATAACAATACGTTAGTAGGCAACGCTCACACTGACAGGTCAGCGATAAGAGAGAAGTTTAGAACGCATGTATGTTGTGTGTGTGTGTGTATATAAAATGAAGCTAATTCCTTCTTTCTTCCTCTTTTGCCGAATTCTTACGCGTTCGTGTAATGTGCTTTCGTTAAACCCCGCTCACAATAGACGAGTTACATGTATTTTGAACACGTAAAATATAAGAATATTAATATGTATGACTTTATAACGTCACATAATATTATTATTTAATTATAAAGATTTGTAGACTTTATAATATTGTAATATTATAATTTAAAATTATATATAGACAATTATTTGCAAGTTTTTAAGATGCTTATTAGCTTTACTATTAAAATGGACAATCAATCTAATTTGAGATATTAATTCCACAGCTTCAGTTGTGATTTGCGTCTCAAATCCGACAAACCTTATCAGTGCGAAATTTATAAAACTAAAATAATATTGTATATATGTTTACTTTCTATTTCCCTTAAGCAAGTAGTTTATTATTAGAAACATTTGTTTTCAATATTACTAGGGCTTCAGTCTTTCGAACGATGAGCTATTGCGAGGATTTTATGTGACTTTTATGATAGATATATATATATATATATATATATACAAAGTCATAAACAAAAAGTGTTAAAAGCAACCATCTAAATCGATGTCGCAGAGAATGCAAAGGTCGATGTTTAAAAAACAAACTGCGCAGTTTGTTAAAATTTCATCAGTGTAGAGGAATGTTGATATACTTTTCGCTCTAAACGATGTAACAAACGGAAGCATTGAATTTCCGATCTACCCAATACGACGACCTGATACTTGCGATTTTTTTTCAATTGCATATGCTTCGTGTTTCAAATGAACGGGCAAATAAAATTTGCAAATGTGATTCTCGAAACAGTAATCGCGGTATAACCGCGCACATGCACGTAGTAATATTCGATAAGGTTTCATTTTACGTAACAATTTACATACATTTATCGCTGCGAACATCAATAATTTATATTTTCATTGCCTAATTTTGCTCTCCTTTTATTATCGTTCAAAGTAAATATTCATTTATAACCCTTTTATTGCGGTATACAGTCAAAATCGCGTGAGAGAGATATCGAGTTAGTTTCTTATATTTGTCCGTGCAAATAAGAGATATAGACTGCGATTCGATGTATCGTGTAATTTTCTATACGGATAGTGAACGTCACGAATATCAACTAACTTGTCCATTGTGTGCATGCAGATATTCTGTTGATTATATCGTTCTCATTTTAGATGCAAAAAAGAAATGTTTTATCATGTTCGTTAAAAATAAGTGTTGCCGAGATATTTGTATTCTCTTGTAACATTATGTGGTACTCTAATAAAAATATTTCGTTTTTTCGTACTCAAATTATGTAATTATATTATTAATTATTTCATGACAACATTGAAAATAAAATATTACAAGATAATTAGATGTTCTCGGAATCAAGACTTTTAGTAGATACTATTATTATTATTGAAGTATAATTATTGATGAATCAGAGAAAATTAATTGTATTGGAATGTGTACCTGTATATACAACTTTAACTTTATATTTTTTTCACTTTAATCAAATATTAGGAATTGCATAAAATAATTGTAAAATATTTTAAAAAATTGAAATTCGCACGTGTGTTCATAAAAAAAAAAAGAAAAAATAGATAACACAAAAGGGATAAAATATTTTTTTGTCAATTTTAAAGCTATGTTTAAATAATAAATGCGAAAACTTTGACAAGGTTCGATATATCGTTCAACAATTCAAAAAGCGAAATCCTTTTGATTAACCATGTTGCAATTCCGACAAGTTGATGAAATATTGGAATATGCTGCACTTACAGCCGATTAATTAACCAAAAAGCAGATTATCTAGAGAGATTGTATTCGTAAGCAGCTATAATTGAATTAACAGTAAACTCTACTTTTGTAATGTAACTTCATCACTGAAATAGAATAGCTCTTCACCTTCTCGAATCAACATGCTCACTCGTGTGCGCACGGAATGCTTTTTGCGCAATCGAGTTGAGAGAAAATATATTGAGAAAATGTTTAGTATTTAACTATATTGCATAGTAAAACAATTAGGAGCTGAATGTTTGTTACTGCTATAATATTAATAACAATTATTTATATTTATTCAACCAAAAAATATATAGTTGGCATCGAAAATGATTATAAATTAAGTTAAATTATAGCAAATGTAACCATTTCTTCTCTCAACGTAGAAAGCAATCTCTGTATTTTTTTTTACAATAAATTAATTTAAACTTTGACATGTAATCTTTACTTTAAAATTTATAATTGGCACAGAAAGTGACTATAAATTATAGTTAAATTACGATAACTGCAACCATTTTTTCTCTCAATGTAGAAAGTAATCTCTATAGGTATTTTTCTTGAATGAGCTAATTTAAACTTTGACGTGTAACCATTACATATGTACAGCTTCGCTTTAAAATTCAATTAATCATGATTATTTGCCCAATTTTATTAAATTTTTTTCTCTTCGTGCCGCAATTTTACTATTACAAATAACATCATACATTCTCATGCTAAAAAAGAACATATCAGTAAAACACGATTCGTTCTCGATACGTCAAATATTGTGGCTCCAATGCACATGTAAGTTAAAAAATTGGTGTGATAAACATTATTTAGATAACTAACAACCAATAGAAAACAATCCATATTTAATTTATATAATAATTATGACAATTTTTAGTTACACAAAAAATTAAAATTCAAAATGTACAGAATGTACTCTTATCGCATGTATTATTACCCTCGTTACATCACAACAAAGGAGAAGTAATTATTAGCATGCCAATCCAAAATGTGACAATTTTCATTTGACTTACCCATATGAACTGGTGCTTTCAGATACGGACGCGGCATACGGAGAGGTCGTGCCAGCGTCATCCTCGTCCACGTCATCCTTCATTTTTCACAGCTTTTCTGCACATCAAAATGCTTTGTTAATTTAAAACTGTTACATTATTGATAAAATTGTGTAAGCACGCGAAATGCAATAACGCAACCTTTACAAGTAATTACATTTAGTAGAGACCGAGTTATGAGAGTACTTAACTCAATTTATCGT